TTACTTAACAATTATCAAAAAAGGCTTTTAAGGGGGCTGGCCTAGTGGCGTAGCGGTTAAGTGCGTGTGTTCCGCTTTGGCGGCCCAGGGTTCGCACCTTTGGATCCCGGGGGTGCACTGACGCATAACTTGTCAAGCCATGCTGTGGCAATGCCCCATATAAAGTAGAGGAAGATGGGCATGATGTTAGCTCAGGGCCAATCTTCCTCACCAAAAAGAGGAGGATTGGCAACAGATGTTAGCTCAGGGCTAATCTTTCTCAAAAAAAAAAGGCTTTCAAGGAGCATTTATGAATGCTTCTAAATTCCCTGGAGAACTTCAAGCCCAGAGGGATGCCCGTAAATCCTAGATAGTTATATAAGGCAGTACTCTTTGGAAGCACCACACTAAGCTAGATGTTCTCTGAGGGGGCCCTTTCACAGCTCTGTAATTTAGTGATTTAATTCAAAAAACCCAAGAATTTAGTAATATATTTTGGGAGCTTTGTTATGGCAGGAGAAGCAAGATAACTAACAGTCCTTGATTGACTTTCAAATTCTTGGACTACTTAATTTATCTATGTGAAATTAATTATAAACAGTTTACCTAACACTGCTAGGCCAGAGAAAAATAAAAGATTAATGTGTAACCATCAGAAGAGTTATTTAAGAGCCTTATTTCAAGGTCTGTTGTGAAAAAAAGAAAAGTCTCTGTAATGTATAATTAAAGCTATTCATATGATTTTCAGTATTGGAGAAGAGAAATGTTATGAATGTAAATGAAAAGTCTGTTTCCTTTATAAATGGAGTCATAAAAATGTTGGGTCCATTCTTTTAGTGGTAAAAGGACACTTGGACAGGATTCCCTTAGGAAAAGCTACAAGGATGATAAATGAACGACCTTTATGCCAAAAGGTGAAAGAGCACAGATCTATGTACGAAAACATTTTCTGCATTATCACAACTTTAAAAATCACTTTTTCTAAAACACCTAGAAAAAACATCATGCAAAAATTGCTGTCAAGGGAAGGAAAAACAGGATGAACGAGTCCACCTTTCATGAAAGCACTTTTGCAATAACAGAATGCTATTCAATACAAATTCAGGTTATTTGGATAAATTTTTATTGATTACTTCATAATAGATTCATTTCTTTAAAAATTAAGTCTTGAGTAGAAATTCCTATGATTTTTTTTTTGCTACGTCAAACAGAAAATCCAAACGACAGAATAAAATACTGATGGGTTGGGATGGTATATTACATTACCCAACTGTATGCACCTATTTCCAAAACAGAAAATATTAAGAATTCTTTCCAGAAAAATTCAGAAGACAATTCATAATAAAAAATAATAATTTTAGGGCAGCAAGTATTCATTTTCTCAAATTTCTTCAGAAAGAGAAAGATGACTATGAAAAATTTCTTCCTAGTTGGGATAGAAAAATATACCCTTTATTAATTGGGGAAAGGACCAAGAAGCATTCACAGTGAAAAGTGCATATGACAGAAAGTGTAATGGTGAAGGCAGGTGTACTAATGTCCCGGGCATCACTAGTACAGGCCTCAAACACCATGCTGGGGCATCACAGAGCCTTAGAAATCATTCAGTGACTCCTAGTCCCTCACTGTACAGGCGAGGCAATGCAAGTTCAGGGAGGTTCATTCCTCCAGTCTTCCCCCTCCGTGGATAATTGTGTTAATACACCACGCCTGTCGAACAGACCCATCCTATCCAAACACTATGTGATAATACATCCTGCCAGAGCATGCTGGGGGCAGGGAAGGAGGCAGAAACCATAGTTACATGAAATTTATTACTATTATTTCCCTCAAAGACTTTCTTAATCTATTACACTTGTACAATTATCTCTTCTGATGAAACTAAATACATTATGTTTTTACATAATTGATGAAGTAAGGGGTTCATTCATTACATACATTTTATTCCTTGAACTTTCAGACTAGAATAGGGAGGTCACCAATACTTCATCTTGTTTTGACCTAAGAGAACTTACAGCTCAGATCTGTATACATTATTGACCATACTACTTAGCAGGGCAGCAGAGTTGACAAATAGTAAAGAAGTAAAAAGAGAATAAACAAATTCTAATAAATTCTAACATAAAAGATTTAAAAGGATCATCTGTTTTCTATGACAGCTATCACAGCCTTAAATAAGATCTTTCTTCAGTCTGTTAAAAAAAAAAGTCACACTTTGCCTATTGATAAATTAATCATCAAATATTTGGCAATTAATTTATATAATTAATAGTTATCATCACTTAGTATTAACATGATTGATTCCAATGGAGGATAGGAGACAATGAAAATAATTACTGAACCCAGTGGTCAATAGCCACCTGAATCAAAGCAAGAATTTCCAAAGCTCAAACACATTGTAAATTACTTGTTGAAGATCTCATTAGAACCTAAACTAGAACCTGGCAAAAATTCTATGCATTTTGATAAAGATTCTTTAATCCTTTAGGCCTATATAAAGACTTATAAAGAGTGAAGGGTCCAGAATGTTTATGTATGTGAAGATACCATAATGGTAGGCAGAGAGTAACACTGCAGCCTAGCCGTGTTAGATACCTTCAATATTCAAACCAAAAAGCGATGTGAGACTTGATCATGATAATGATGATAACTCAGAGGCTAACTTTTCTGAATACCTACTATGTGCCAGGCACTGTTCTAATTGCTTCACATATATTCATTTAATCTTCAAAAGAACCCAACAATCATCCCCATTTTACAGATGTTAGAAAGCAGTTAGTACAGTGGTTAAAAGCAAGGATGTCAGAGCCAGACTGCCTTGGTTTGATTCCTGGCCCCACCACTTACCAGCTCATCTGTAAAGTGGTGGTAATTATATTGTCTACCTCACAGGGTTTGTTGTGAGGTTTAAATGTGTTAATAAAAACAAAGAACTTAGAGGAGTGCCTAGTACATATGAAGTGTTGCACAAGTGTTAACTCAACACTATTACAAAAAAGGAATATGTGGCTCAGGAGACTGCAGTAACTCGCCCAAGGTTACTGTGGCAGAGTCAGGAAGAGAACCCAGGCAATCTGGCCCCGGAGACAGCACCCTTACACCTCACATATGCTGCCTGATATTTATTGAAATTCTTTTAAGTACCAGGATTGCAGGCAATTTTTATGTTGCTTTATTTCAACCTCACAACAACTTCATAATATCTTCACTTTACAGAGATGAAAACCTAGCATGCTAGTCACTGCTTAGCACAGCAGGGACATTATGGTGACAAAGACACAGATGTTACCCTACAGGAACTTACAGGTTCAGATGGTAAAGAATTTGCCTAAAGGCACCAGCTATGAGGAAGAAGAGCTGGGATGCAAACCCAAGTCTACATGCTCTCTTCACTCTGCCCACACATCACTGTGTTAAAACAGGGAGTTTCTTAGGCAGAAAAGATATTTTTAGTGAGAAAAAGAAGAAAGGAGCTAACACACGAGGGGAGAACTAGAGTTTTCCGGCAGGTGGGAAACCTGTGTACAAGGCCCAGTCTCTCTGGCATTAGTAACTGTCTTAACCCTTTATATATCCAAAGTTTGCAGCAGCCTAGGGGCATTTTTCCCATAGTGACATATTTCATCACACACGGGGAAGGAATGAGAAACCAATCTCCACTTAACTTGTTTAAAATATACTCTGGAGTGAAGACTGCAATAATTTGAAATACTTACCATAGAGTCTGGTGTGCAGGTGCTCAATTATATGTATACACATCAAACATCAAATTAATAAATTTATGTGTAAAGTGCACACAAGTATACACCCATGAGCACACATATGTATTTATTTCTAATTCTGCCTAGAGATCTGATGGTGAAATTCTGAAAGTTTTCTTTAAGCTCGCCTAACATGACTTGCACTACTGATGATTCTATCCAGAGCATTTGTATAGACAGACCTGCAGAATCGAACCAATAAAACTGGTGCTTCTACTGTAGCAGATTAAGCTTTCTCAGACACCTCAAAGGAAGTGACAGTGCCTTCCTTCCTAAGCAGCCTAGCCTATTAACGCTCATGATTATGCCTCCTAGTGAACTTAACTCTGGATGTCCAAACCTAAACAGAACCTGCTCCTGATCTAATTAGAACAGTCCATAGAATAAATTCAAGACAAATAAAGAATAACAACAATTTCTGTTTAGAAACATCTGTGCCACTAATAATTTAATGATTTAAGAAGCCTTCGAGAAAGTGGCAAATACTTGAAATTGAGGTATCTCTGCCCAGCTTTGCTTGGGAGCCTGAAGTGTAATTTCAGTATGAACTTGTCGATTGCAGTATTTTCAATATTACCGTAGCAAAACAATTCCTTATCTGAACTTACTAAAACATTACAATCTGTGCAATCTTGACTGAAAAAGCAAATGTGATTATTCTGACCAGAATCAACAGATCTAGAACGTTAAATGTGAAATGCAGTGGGTCAACTAAGCTAAGAATCCCTAAATACTCTGCTTTTACATGAGTAAATAGTTGACAGCACTAGGGTGTCCAAAGTTTTTATGCCACAATAGTATTTGGAGGTAAGTTGCTACCAAAATTATATCTGTGCCATGAGTTAGATACCGAGGTTGGCACAAAATCTTTGGCAGGTGAGGCATCACACTAATTTGTCTGGCCAAGCCGCAGCTGTGCTGTCAGCTAGCTGGTTCTCCTCTGCCTTCTCCAGGGGATGGTCTTCCCTAAGAGTGGCCTCTTCTGGTTCTTCACGTACTTTCCTTGCTTTCTCTGGGAAGTGTAGTATATGTCCCTATCTGTCCCTTTTCCATGAATCAAATTATAAATATGATTAGCAATTCAGGGCCTTTCTTGTGAAATGCCTCTATATAAAAAATAAGCACTTTAGTCCCAGGAATACCACTATTTACAGAAAACAAAAGGTAAAAACCTGTATCACTTGGAAACACGTGTACTGTCTCCCCATTCTCAACACAGAAAAAAGGTGCGGAGAAGGACTGTCACAGGATCAACCATACCTGAGAATCTGGAACACTTTCAGCTTCTGTCACAGTTACGTGTTTGTCACTGTTTTCTTCATCTTGGTCAATTGCTAAGAAAAAAAAAAGAAAGAAAAAAAAACAATATTAAATGTAGCATCAGGGCTGGCCCCGTGGCTTAGCGGTTAAGTGCACGCGCTCCGCTGCTGGTGGCCCGGGTTCGGATCCCGGGCGCGCACTGACACACCGCTTCTCCGGCCATGCTGAGGCCGCATCCCATGTACAGCAACTAGAAGGATGTGCAGCTATGATGTACAACTATCTACTGGGGCTTTGGGGGGAAAAAATAAATAAATAAATAAAATTATAAAAAAAAAAAGTCTTAAAATGTTATTAAAAAAAAATGTAGCATCATAATAAACCTCTTTCAGATCATACTCGTTCAGATAGCAATCTGTCAGGAAAAAATAATGCTGGGTAGATTCACAAAATGTAAATACTGGTACTATTTTTTTGTTATTTGGATGAAAAGTTAACTTGTAGCACTGGGCATGTACATTATCTCATTTATTAAGTCAATGGCAATGGAAAAATTTGATCTCAATTCTCCTCTTCACCTAAACCCATCCAGACATCATCATGTCAGTACTGTGCTTCACCTAAGGGGGAGTCGGGGTATAGATGAAGGCTTCTATCAAGTTCATCTGAGAACAGTCATTTTTTTAAACAGTATGGTTTGTTGGCTGGTAGTGCCATATAATAAAGGAAGCACAATATTTTATATTTGGACTGCTCAGTGCATTGTTACCACAAAATTCCAAATGTGGAGTCTTGAATCTACCTCTTCTCCCATATTTCCCCAGCATCTCCCTATCCAAGTCCTTGTCACCCTTTCTGAGCTGGTGCAATAATTTCCTAACACAAAGGCCCTGATTCTAGCCTCTCCCTAATACAATCCAGCTTGGGCACAACCGCTAAAATAATCAGTCTCAAGAAATATAAAAACAACGAGGGCCACACTTGGGCCTATGTATTGCTTATCTTATCAAGTCTGAACTCTGTTCATCACTCAAGGTCTTCCTTGAATTCTCTAGCTTCCTCCTAATCTCCAACTTCACACTGACATTCAACACCAACTCTGATCTAAGCACAATGATCTGATTATTTTTCTCTTTATACACTTTGCTCTTTCATTTTAACAAATATTTATTGATCATCTGCTACGTGCCTGGCACTAGGGTTATTCCCGTGAAGAAGACAGATAAGCCTCTGACTTCATAAAGTACACATACTAGCTGGGGAGACAGCCAATGAACAATTACTACTACTACAACTAATAATAATAAAAATAATAATAATAGAAAAGATGGAATTAAAGGTCATGATAAATGAGGAAATGACAGAAAACCAACTGGGGGAGGTCATTTCAGGGAAGGAGAAGGGATGGTGCTTCTCTGAAGAAGTGGTCTTTGGGGCCGGCCCCGTGGCTTAGCGGTTAAGTGCGTGCACTCCGCTACTGGATCCCGGGCGCGCACTGACACACCACTTCTCCCGCCATGCTGAGGTCGCGTCCCACATACAGCAACTAGAAGGATGTGCAACTATGACATACAACTATCTACTGGGGCTTTGGGGGAAAAAAAGGAGGAGGATTGGCAATAGATGTTAGCTCAGAGTCAGTCTCCTCAGCAAAAAGAGGAGGATTAGCACGGAGGTTAGCTCAGGGCTGATCTTCCTCACAAAAAAAAAAAAAAAAATTAAAAAAAAAAAAAAAAGAAGTGGTCTTTCAGCTGAAGGCTGAGGTAGAGCTGCCCACGGCAGGTGAGAGTGATCTGAGACTAAACCAGGGAGAACACAGACCACTGTAAATTTAGATTTTAGCCTTAGAACATGGGGAAGCACCAAGGAATTTTCAAGTGGGAAGTGCATAACTTGATGTATATTTTCAAAAGTTCTTTTTGCCTTCTTTGTGAAGGACAGACTTAAGATTAGCAAGACAGGAAGCAGGGAGAGCAGTTAAGCAACTGTTGCTCTTGTCTTGCTAAAGATGACAATGGCTCAGACCAGGGAAGTGGCAACAAGCTAAAGAAACATGGACGATTTGAGCTGTGTCTTTAGACAAAATGGACATAACTTGCCAATAAACTGAATACAAAGAGAGAAGAAAAGGGAGATGAGGGAGAAGCAGCAATCAAGGGTGACTTCTAAGAAGACTAAGTTATTCTTTGTAGGCACCACACCATTTACTCTTGACAAGAGATTCTCAAATATTGAGTTCAGAACTGATTCGGCTCGAACTAAAAAGCCTGACTTATGGCCTATCAAACATACACTGTACATCTGCGTAATCATTAAAGTAAAGTATGCACTCTCTTAAGATAAGAATGAATACTTCCCCTCCTATGCCCTGTTGGTAACGCCTGGATTAGTCCCTTTCCTGACACCACTGTCATGTTGATCTGCTAATTTGGAACTGAATACCTTTTGAAATTTTGATGGAAATGTATCCTGGGTGTGGTTAATGTATGTTCTTTGTTCTAAAATGATATAAGACTGTACTGAAAACCATGCTTCTCTGGAACGCTTTCTAAGGCCTTCCCTGGTTATAATCCTCACTCCGGCTCAAGTAAACTCACCTTATTTCTCGTATCTATAGAATGGTTATCGGTTATTTTGCATCGACACTCTTTTTGCCCTCTCCATCAAAAAGTAGGCCAAAAACATACCAACCTTGCTGACAGCGAGATCACCCACTGTACTTCTGGATTCAGATTGCATTGTTTTGTGTACTTTTAAATACCACACTCTCTGCTCTGTATTTTTTTCAATATCATCTCATGTACCTTTTGCTTTTGTGTGCCTTTTATGCCCACTGTATGGTGCTTACCCTGGAGCCCACCTAAAATGCTGTGCACACAGTGTGAGCTCTGTGAAAACTAACTGGGATGAACAATTCCTCCCCAAGTGACTGAAATGGCACAACTTGACTCCACCTACTTATATAAGCTACTTCTTTTATAACTATAACTTATACTTATTCTTTTATAACTATTATGAAAAAAGAGGGAAGGGAAATTCTTCTGCTAAACTCCACGAATAACTAGGATAACTCCTACCATCGAGCATCCAAAGGCAAGGCGGGAACAGTGGAAGTGGGCAGAAGCTTTTCTTCTATTTTCAGCAAAATATTCCATTCATGCTTGTTCAAAGGGGGTCCCCTGTTGCTACTGTAGCCCGATTAGGAGGACATTTAAGAATAAAGAAAAACACTCATATTTTCTCAGAAAAACTAGAAGCAAGAAAGCAAAGGGAAAAATAAAATAGAGAATAACATCCTAAATTCCACTTAAAAATGCAATGGGCTGTAGAAATAAGGAACTCCACTTAACCAATTGAAATAATATAAGAAATCTTTCTTCCTCCTGTAGTGGGGAGTAATTTTCTTAGAGGGCAATTTGATACCATACCAGTGTGGGACAACATCACCCTCATGAAGTACCAACAATACCTTGGCATTTAATTTATGCTTTATTTGAATTTTTGCTCTTTAAAGTTTTAATTTCGATAAAAATGAAGAAAATTAAATTTGGGAATATTTCTGCCTACTAAATTCATGTTTTTGTTTTTAAAACAACAATGTTCTGGTGTCTAGGCATTTATTTTGCTTTCCTTATTATACCATGATATAGGACATGCAGGACAATGAATAACAATTTCAGGATTGAGAGTTAACACTATTTTTTGAGATTCAGGCATAATTCTTAATATATACAAATAGAATCAAAGGAGGAAGAGATGAACATAAAAGCATACTTGGGATAAAAATTCAGCCCCACATTTCTAGCTTATCCATAACTACAATGGTATACTTATTGCCATATCAATCTCAAAATTTTTTGCCCAGTGTTACACTTTGGTTAACAGAGCAAGAAACAGAAACACAGGCACGTTAACGGACTTGGCAAAGGTTAACTCAGCAATCTACCTCAATGTGCATAATGGAGACTCTCTCAAAGATCTGGTGGACTCAACCTCAGCACCCGATGACAAAGAAATGAGAGTGGTCTCCTCCAACACATAAATAACATTATTTTCTTGGAAATGCTGAAAAATTATGATTCCAAGAATTCATTCTAGCCAGTGGTTCACTTGGGAACAAACACTTATTTTTGGACTTCCGGGGATTTATGATCACCCCAGGAAGTCTCATGTATGAAATCCATAGAGTCGCCTAAAAGGGAGCACTTTCTGACCCTTTAATATGAAGAGTAATGTCAGGAAGATATAAGGAGACAATTTCTCTCTTCAAGCCCTCTAGTCATGCAGCTCATGTGGTGGAAGGAGGAGGAAGCAGCTATTTAGATTTTTGAGCTTAACTTTTCTTTTATCTGATCAGAGTAAGAGTAGGTTAGGGAAAATTTCCTATGCAAATATTGATTCTGGGACAGTTCCCTGCAGTGGAACACCGACACAGGAATGACACCTTCTGGGACGGAGGGAGGCTAGGAGTCTCACTCTCTGCCAACACAAACCATCCCCTTATCTCTCAACACAGAGTCTAAAAGCAAGAAAAGCCCTTTGAAAATAACTTACCACAACAAAAGTTACAAGCACAAGATCTAAAGCACATATTTTGAATAGCAAACATGAGAGCCTGCATGAGAACTAAGAATATAAGTGGATTAATTAGCACGAATTCACATAACAGTACATAGTATAAATGTATCTATTTGTCAAGTAGCCAAGACCAATTCAAGATGAGCAACTGTTGCCAGCCTCCAAGATTTTAGGGATCACCTTAATATACCTTTCTTTTTGCCTTGGGGAGGACAACAGGTTTCTCTCCCCATGACTCATTAGGATGGTTGCTAAGAAAACTCTAATAACTCTATGAATATTATTATTTAAACACAAAGAGGATTGATGTCCTTTCAAAATGATGCTTATTTAATTTCTACTGGTCAGTTTTGTAAAGGTGAGAGCCATACTAGGAACACGAAACACACAATGATCGTTAACACACTAGGTGACTAGAATTGAGAGCGTTCTTTAAAAATCAACCAAACTTTTGTGTGTGTGTGTCTGTGAGGAAGATCAGCCCTGTGCTAACATC